CTACTTAGCTATTGAGTCCTGATAGCCACTTGCTTGTACAATGAGGTGAAGTTTAAATTCACTTGGTGTTGTTTTACTTGGATCTTTCCATTGTTATTTATGACTGCGATTGATCAGTCTCATGTTGACTATATCGAGGCAATCCATACAGGATGCACACTACACTGGTAGCAGATATGAAAATGGGAAGAACTGGGAATAATACCCGGGACAGGGTTGGATAGGGAGTGCTGGTGGTCGGCCTATGTTCCTTTAAGAGGAGTAACAGGCGTAAGTAGTAAGCAGAAAGTAAATCCTTATCAATCATATTTATAATCTAAAATGCACCCATTTCTAATAATAAATTTGAGAGAAACTATTTTTCTGTTTCAAAAATTCTTAAAACGCTTTACTAAGTGATATTATTTTACAGTTACTAAGCATGAAACATTTCGAACACTCGCGAACTATTGTTGATCATGAGTAGTCACTATTCAAGAATTAAGTAAATAAATCAACAGATAACTATTTGAGCATATGGAGGCTTGATTTTCGACCTTTGGAAAGTGGATAACAGTTGAAAATTTTATTCAACTATCGATCAGTATGATGATCGACGAAGCCGATCGTAAATATTTAATTCAATATTTTGCTTACTAATAAAGATATATAAGTAGTTTAACTATTTTAACAAAATAGGTGTTACTATCAAAGTTTGATTTGAATTCAACAAAATGTTTATTTGGAAGGATTAGATATATAATTTCTTTTATAATTGTTATTAGAATCCATAGTTGTTTTAAAGCTCAGATGATATTGTCACATTGTCACATAGAATCGTGACCATTACATTAAGTGACTCAATATCGTGTAACCTATGTTTTCATGTTAACTGGCTGGTCATAGTTATCAGAAATCCCTTAACCTACGTTTTTTACTATTTGACGCTCGTCAGCAAATTGTGCCTACAATTTTGAGGGAACGGGTACTCTTTGGAAGTTTCAAATTCAAATGCTTGCTGAATATTTCAAATATCGTTTTGAATGCTAACCAACCAAACTGTAATTATATAATCTATTAATAAGTGAACTAAAATAGAAAATTTTATCATTTATAGACATAACAAGCCATTAAATCCTCATCACATGGTTAGGCTGCTCTTTTTAATATCAATATTCAGCTACTTATCGATAGAAGTTACGATCTCTTCGTAAGTCAATGGTCTCTTAAATTAAAACGCCATAACATGACCACGCATACTTCAATCACTGTCGATAAGTTAATGACCCGATTCTAAATCATCCCCACACATCACTCGCTCAACTGATCAAATTTAAACTTCTGAGGTTTGTTTTCAAAATACGAAAAGGGTGATACTGAGACGATAAAAAGTGGAACGATAAGACAGAAGATTTCCACTTCTCAGAGTTTTCTTGGATATTCTGAATCATAGGAATGGAGATAAGACAATACACAGTGGTACAAATGAGGAGTATTTCGGAAAGAATAAAATTGATATGAACTAGATTTGTAATATTGCGTTGCTATGACGTCAATTTACGTAGTTGTTGGATAGATTATGTAATTTCTAAACATGATTATATCTGTTTAATGTATATTCTTATATACGCTCGACGTTTCAAATAAAATAGTGGCCATAGTTTGCTCATGCTTCATTTCTTAAAATCTGATATTCACAAGCATAAAAATTGTTAAGCGTCTCAACAGCTTCCAATCACTATTCATTTCTGATATTCCCTATCACCAAGATAAGTTATTAAGCTTCTAGCTTGTAAACAAGCACTTCATCATCACTTTTAAATAATTACAGAGGGAGCAAGTAATGTTCAACTTAAGAATCGTAGGATTTGAATGTGTTACAAGTGTCTAACTCAATTAAATAGTATCAATCATTGAAAATTGATTTGCAATATACAGTGAAGAAAATAGAAATTTAATTCAGTCATTGAAACGTTTTAGTTTAAAAGTTCAAAATCCGTATAAAAATCACAAATGACTTTCTTGTAATAAATGTGAGATGTAAAGGTTAGACACATAAATCAATTACAGTGTGTATCACATTGTTAATTAACGGTTATCTTCATGTACATTACATAATCTATCTGGAATGCCGATGCTAGCAGAATTGACTCAGTTAATATTCATTAATCGTAACTAAACCATATCCTTTTTGACGATGAGCACCATAGTTCAGAAGATCATGAAACTTTAGTTTGACCAAGAATTTGTATTAATTAAATGACAATAATAAATAAACTGATCACCTGTAGAATAAATGATAGAATATTGGAACCAAAAGCAAATTCACTAACAACTTCAATTATTATTTTATATAACATTAACCTAACAATCACCTTTACAAGATTATCTGAGATACAATTTGACCTATCTTCAACAAAGCATTCAATGAAGATAAATTGAGAGATATTTAACTAATTACTGAACATTTTCAAGGATGAGTATCAAATGGATTTCTCATTGAATAACTTAACAGCTATGTAAGTACGCAAATTGGTTCATACACCAAAGTATACCGCTATTATTCTAAATGTCTGCCCCCAAGTGCCTTGGTACGGCCGAAAGTAGAGAGAGCTCGCTCTCCCTCTCGAAGTGTTCTCACATGGCCACGCATGTATAGCGTCTGACAGGGAAGTCCTACTCACTGCCTTCTAGTGGCACCAATGTTGTTTACGAAAATGAGAGGACGAAAAGCGAATATCAGGCGCTTTATCCAGGTTGGTGAACATGGAGAGTCCACCTAGGGGAGTTGGAAAACCCTGATTCTAAAAAAAGGTGCAAATGGGCTCCAGTATCCTGAAGGAACAAATGGCGTATGAACCAACCGTTGGTCACCGGCTATCATGGGGCGACAAAGAATGAATGGATTTGTACCACAACTGTTATATCCTAGTGAAGATTAAATTACGAGTAACTTCTGAGATCTATTAATGGACTAGTATTATCTATATATTCTTATTCTATAATTATTCAGTAACTAGGTTGTGTATATCTATATTCATCATATTATAAGCTTCATTTTGACCTATAATTTATTATTATACGATTTAATGTTCTAAAATTATACTCGGTTTATTAATTACTGTCTCCCACGTTCACAGCCACTTTTGGTTTTATTTGGCTGATATATAAACCAAGTATGTCTGAAATAAGTGATTTGGAGATTGGAAGCTGTTATTTGTGTTCTGGACTTAAATGGACAGGCTAGGCGAGCAAAATACCAATAGGCACCCTAGGCTGATCAGACCAGTCGAACGTCATTGGTTTAGTACAGTACAAGAGTGAATAAGTCGTATTACGATTGACAAGTAAATTACGTGATAACTAACCGGACTTAAAGTCACAACAACAACCGCCGATTCTAACCTATGTATTCTATCGTCTCCAATCATTTATCGTAATGATCACACCAACACCGATCAGACAGTTTAAATCTCCCTCTAAATGCAAGTTGTTGCTTCAGGACTGGCCTGCGTCAACACCTGAACTAAGGATAGGGAGTGAAGTGGTCGAACGCGTTGACAACTTCATTTATCCTGGAAGTCTGATCTGCATTAATGGGTCGGTGTCTGACAAGACCTCAGCACGAATTCGAAAAGCTCGTTTGGCTTTCGCCAACTTACGTCACCTTTGGCGAAGGTGAGATATCCGTCTATTAATAAAAGGACGAGTATACTGCGCGGCAGTCCGTTGTTTTACTTTACAGCTGCGAAACATGGCCTCTAAGAGTAGAAGACACCCGTAAGCTACTAGTATTTGACCACAGATGCATTAGAAATATTGCTGGCGTCTGCTGGGATCACCAGGTAAGTAATAGTGAGGTTAAACTCAGGGTATTGGGGAATGATGGTAAATCAGTTGATGAGGTTGTGAATCTTCATCGACTGAGATGGTTAGGCCACGTGTTACGTATGCCTGAACACTGATTACCACGACGTACAACGCTAACCGGTGTTGGAGATGGTTGGAAGAAAATAAGGAGTGGCCAAACCAAAACGTGGCATCAGTGCTTGAAGTCGCTAACTTCTAGTCTGAGCCATGTTGCTAGTTGCAGACTACTTGGTTGGGGTCCGCCTGACTTTCGTAACCAATGGTTGGAGACTCTTGGTGACATGGCTCAGAATCGATCATAACGGCGTAGGTGTATACACTCAGTGTCTTCCCTTAAACCAAGAGATTAAAATCGCTTCATATCTTTCTTCCTACGTACGAAATCTTTCTTCCTGTACTATATCCTTATATACAATCTTTCTTTTATATATTGTCACCATTGACTTAACTACTCCTATGAATCCGATGTTCATCTTGCTGTGCTAATGCGGTATGGCAACTTGGACTGATGCATATATGTGCCTGGTCCTATGTTGTAACTGACTGACTGACTGACAATACATAGTGATATTAGATGGTGGTTGGAGGTAGTCGACAGGAAACCCTGGACACGAGTTTCGTGCTACTTGGCACTCGTCAGCAAGGTGTACCTGTAGTCTTGAGGGAACTGATGCTCCCTGACGGATTCGATCTCGTGTCACCCAGCTTCACAGTCAGACACATTACCACTGAACTATCCGAGCCGCGACCGACCTCCTGTAGGACTGAGATGTAATCACAATTGATTGACCGCTGGGTGGTGATCAATGTCATGCGTGGGTTTCCTGTCGACTACCTCCAACCACCATCTAATCTCAATATATAGTGCACGCAGTGTCGAGTCACCTAGACTGGTGGCCAGATTGTAACATGATCAATAGCATTCGATCTGTACTAATAAGGACTAGACACGCATGATATTGATCGCCACCCAGTGATCAATCAATTGTTACAATACATAGTTCAATAGTTATTGACTTCATAGATTGATGTCACATCTTCGTTTGATTGTCCCGCTTTAACCTTTACATACATACAATAACAAACATTCACTTTTTCTCTCTCTCTCTCTAAAATTCTATCATTATTACCAAATGAAAAGAGTTGAAATAAATGATTATAACTTTCTTCATAATTACAACAAACATACTATTATTAATCATCATTTCATTTCATTTTAAACGAGAATGTATCATTTTGATCATGTATCAAGGCACACACTTTAGAAATAGATAACAACAACAATCAAAAAAAAGAGAAAGAAAGAAAGAAATGTAATTATTGTAATAAATTGATGTAAACATACACATAATCAAATATAAGAGTAATATGGAGTTATATGAAATGGTTAACAAACCAATATAAACAGTAAATAGTAAACAATGTGATTCGATTCTAATAATCACTTTCATAAATACATTCATAATATAAAATGAACTATGAGATGGTTATGAGAGGGGGGATGAAAAGGAACAAAAGAAAACAGTTTAAAAGATAAAAGCTTAATAAAGAAAGAAATTACAAATTGTGTATAATACATGACTTTATCATTTAAATACAACTAATAATGCTTGTATTCCATGGCAGTAGTAATAATAATAATGTATCATTTTCTCACACACACACACACCCTCTCTCTCTCTCTCCATCGATCAAACAATAAACAAACAAACTGATTATTGAGAATTCAATTCATGTCAATTAGTAAACACACATATATATATATATATATATATATATATATATATATATATATATGGCTAATAGTTTACAAAATATGGAATAATTAAAAAATAAACAAACCAATATCAAATTCATTAATGTCATGCAGGCAACAAAAATTGTAATCATCACAATTAAAAAAGAATGGTAATTATAATAATGATTATTATTATTATTATTCATTACAGGAATTAGTGGGGAAAATTGTTTTAACAAAAAAAGAAAAGAAAACCAGCCGAACTTATCATCATAAACAGCGTGTATACACAACACGGCTTCACTTAATACGCATAACCAGTATACGGTGTATATCATACAGGGGGGGAGTGTATGTAAGTAGGTCTGTGCTCCTCCACGAGAAGTAACAGGTATAAGTATGTTTGTGTGGCAGATACGTACAGATATACACAAGCATGTAGATTGATAAATTGTATATTTGTTGACCAAATGTCAGCTGTTTTGACTCTCTCTCTCTCTTAACACATAACATAAATAATACGATATACACAAAAAGAAAACTGATTGGGTTATAATAGTAGAAATTGTCTTTTGTCGTTAATTATCACAATTTACATTATCGTCAACACTGTTTGTATTATTGACTAAAGTAGAAGATTGTGATTTTAGTAACGAATTATTATCATTATTATTCTCAACGGTATTTTCGATAGCAGTAGTAGTTAAATCATTGACAATACTAAGCGACGACAAAGACTGATCATCAATATTACAATGGTTGGTTAGTTCAGATGGTGATGATGATGACGACGATGAATCGACAGTTTCAACTTCGTCGAGTCCAGTCGCCGTCACTGTTGTTGTTGATGATGGCAGTAGTTCAGTTTGAATATAATCTGGATTATTATCATTACCATTATTATTCTGTTTAACTTTAATATAATAACATTGAAACGGTTTACTGCTTGTTGTTATCTTTAATGTATCCATAGCTTCATAGGCGTAGAATTTCACATCAGTATCAGAATCTTCAGCTAAACGAGTTAAACAAGATTTAATTTCATTTTCAATATTTTTCTCTTCTAATTGTGAACCTAAATTGCTAAGTGCTTGAGCGACCTATTAATTATAATAAATAAAATAATAATAATAATAATAATAATAATAATAATAATAATAATAATAATAATAATAGTAATAATAATAGTAATAAATAACAATAATAATAACAATGATGATAAGCAGTTTGAATCTTATTATTTTCTCATTGACTCAAACGTCACTCTTGGTTATGAGTCACCTTAGAATCTAAATATGAAGGTTAATAAAATTATCAATTAGTTGTTTACATGATGATGGATTCAATGGAACCCCCTAACTGCTGTGCCACAGCCCCGAAAACCAAATTAAATTGGTTAGTATTTTAGGATTTTTGGGAAAATTACGCGGACTTCAAGTGGATAGTATGCACACGCGCACACAGCTCAGTCCAAAAATCGATAATCTAGTGGACTAATGTCATGTCTATGTTCGATCTCCTTTTAGTTTACTTTCAACTTACTCCTACACCAAGTATCCCGCGCCGGTTTGGGCACCCGAGCAGTATCACAGCGCACACACACAAATATGGTGCCCTCTTGTACCGATATTTATGTGTTGAAATAAATAAATAATAAATAAATAAAATCCCGCGTCGAGGTAGGCGGTGATTGGGTACACATAATGTGTCCCAATCACCTCAGTCGATGAAGATTAACTACCTTATCAACTGATTTTTTTATCTTTACCAAGTATCCTGTGTCTAATTTCAGCATTGCCTATTTAGTGGTCCGAACATACGCACTCAATGCTTCCAGGGCACCTACAGTCAGACACTAATAACCTACGATAATATCCTGTTTTTAAAAACCACATTTCACGGCCATTAATAAAGTTAGTACACTTGAACAATACTAATAACAATATTAACTAGTGGACATTTTCGACATCTCCACGTCTACTTAAAAGCTACCACATATGAAGACTGTTGAATGAAAACAGGAAACCTTATAATTATTGATGTTTTAGGTTCGAATACCGGCTCCAACTAATTCGATCTGGATAGTTACCTAGAGCTAAGTTCAAGTGTGGTTTAAAGTCAAGTAATCGGGTTCGTACTTCGTTGAGTTACGCAACTTAGTTATATTATTTTTTCACAAAGGAAAGAAGCACCTGTAGAAATGAATTTGTAATTAATTGTCTCAGTAGTGTAACGATCTTATACACAAACGCCTTTGATTGGAGTGTAGTGAATAAGGATATTTTCCATAGCGATTTAAATTCATTACTGGAAAGATGATGAATGAGACTTACTCCCTGAGTGTAAATAAATAATTAATACAAACATTTTGGATTATTGTTGCTTTTGAATAAAAATTTTGAGCAGGCTCCTCTGTGCGCAATCCAAACATTTGTCGTTCAGAAGTGATTAGACGTGAACAGTTCAATTACCGAGATATTTTCATTAATCACAATTCATAGACTAGTCTACCTACAATTGAAGCTAGCAGTGTGTCTCATCTAAATCAGGTTAGATTAATCCGAATTATCGCCAACCTATTAAGTATTTAATAGCTCAATTATAACTGAACATAACATCAAACAGTAAACTGATCAATATATCTGTGAAACTTCAGTGACCGAGGTAACTTACATATGTGATAGGTAAGACCACAAATCGATTACCCTAATAAGTAATGCTTCGTTAGCATAGGAGAGGATAGAAATGTTTAAACTGAAATACGGATACCACTAATGATTACTGGTCTAGTTACTGAATGAAATCGCAAGCTTTGTTATTATGTTCGATAAGATCTTATGTGACGGTTCAAAATTGATTGAATAGTAGTCCAGATTCATTTGTATCCTCCTGTTAATTACGAATTTCAATTCATATATTTATTTCATTTGCTTTCTCTGAATTATATTCAATGTCTCTATTAAAGTTGGACAGTGACTAACAGTAGAACTCAGGATGCCCATTTCGTTCCATTTTAAAATCATCATCCAGATAAACCTGTATATCGGCGTTGATTTTCATGTTGAGACTTGAACATAATACTTTTGGCTCCAAACGCCAATACATTATCCATGAAAACATATAGTCCAGACAACCACCAGTTTGTGTGACGAGTACAAAATTTTATTTATAAGTTTACGTATTTTCCCATTGTTCAAGTCTCAGCGTAAATATTAACACAAGTATGCAGATACATGTAGATAACGGGCCCTAAATAGGGGGGGATACGCCCAGAACTCCACTACTACCCACTAACTATCTTCACTAAATAATTGTCACTAAATGACAATATCGAACTAATCCGCTCAGAATTTGATCAATTGTAATCATTAAATCCAACAACAAAACAGTATAAGATTTGACAAATATACCGGGAGGTTCACTTGTTGACTTAGAATATGCAGATGACATCGTTTTATTTGGTGAAGACGCTGACAAAATGCAGTCTTCTGACCACTCTAAGCAACAATGCAAGTATGTTCGGGATGCGATTCTCTCCCTCGAAATGCAAAATGTTGCTTCAGGATTGGGTTACATCGACACCCGAACTAGTGATAGGGAGTGAAGTAGTTGAGTGTGTCGACCGCTTCACTTATCTTGGAAGTCTCATCAGCCCTTGTGGTCTGGTATGTGACGAAATCTCAGCACGGATACAGAAGGCTCGACTAGCTTTTGCGAACTTGCATCATTTATGGCGTAGGCGAGATATCCGTCTATCAACCAAAGGACGGGTTTACTGTGCAGCAGTACGTCCCGTCCTACTTTATGGAAGTGAAACATGGCCGGTAAGAGTAGAGGATATTCGTAGGTTACTAGTATTCGATCATAGGTGTCTTCGAAACATTGCTCGTATATCATGGGACCATCGAGTAAGTAACACAGTTGTTAGGAAACGGGTACTAGGTAAGGATGGCAAATCAATTGATGAAGCAGTGAAACTTCATCAGTTGAGATGGCTGGGACACGTGTTACGTATGCCCAACGACCGACTGCCTCGACGTGCGATGTTCAGTGGTATAGGAGTAGATTGGAAGAAAGCTAGGGGCGGCCAGACCAAAACATGGCAAAAGTCCATGAAGTCACTGACAAGTGGTCTGAGTCATGTTGATAGGTATAGACTACCTGGTTGGGGACCGCGAGATGATAGCAACCGATGGTTAGAGACCCTGAATGACATGGCTCAAAATCGTTTGCAATGGCGCAGTGGCATCCACTCTTTGTGTTCTCCCAAATTCTAATCTTCTGAATTCTTCATGTCCCTTTTTTTCTCTTTCCAAATTTATTTCACTGTATTATACTCTTTAAATAACATCTCCAAACCCTAATCTTCCCGATCACTGCTTACACTCTTGCTACCTCTACCACTACGGGATTTGAATCGACAACTGCATCTCTGTGTTAAGGTGGTGTGGCAACTCGAACTGATGTACGTACGTACGAAGTTCTACGTTGTAACTGACTGACTGACTGACTGATATTCCTTATGCCTAAGTTTCTTTATTATTACATTTATAATACAATTTATTTTGATTCATTTTGATTTGTACATTCTTGTCAATTGACTTTCATCATTATATTCATATATGTAATGATGGTGTTATACAAATATGAATTGAAACATACACCTCTTTTTTTTAATGACAAATTTTACAGGTTGATTAAAAAATTACTATTTTTACATTATTATGATAATAATAATTGAATAGAATACCTCATGAACTATTCTTATCAATTATTAACATAAAATATTAATGAGTCCAGTCGCCGTCACTGTTGTTGTTGATGATGGCAGTAGTTCAGTTTGAATATAATCTGGATTATTATCATTACCATTATTATTCTGTTTAACTTTAATATAATAACATTGAAACGGTTTACTGCTTGTTGTTATCTTTAATGTATCCATAGCTTTATAGGCATAGAATTTCACATCAGTATTAGAATCTTCAGCTAAACGAGTACCTCATGAACTATTCTTATCAATGATTAACATAAAACAATTAATGATAATAATATAGATAATAAGAATTTTTTTTACTTACTTTAAACCGAACATTAGGTACATTATCTGTATGCATTGATAATACAGTAGGTAATAAATATTGACAACAAATTGTTGAATTGACAACTTTACATAAATTTATAATACTTTGTAAACAAATCATACGATGAAGATAATTTTCATCACGTGACAAATGGATAATCTATTAATTGTGAATTGTAAAATAAAAAGCAAAAATAATGATATATATGGGTTGTAGTTAATCATTGATAAGTATTTATTGAGATTATAAACCGATCAATGTTAGGGCCACCTAGAAGTATTGAACTAGTTTCGACAGTTAATTCTTGAAGTTCTAGTAAGAAAACCATGACCAGTGTAATTCAACCATATTGAATGTGAGGTAGTTATCTACAGAAGACAATAGAAGATGGCCGCATAATTTCGTGGATGGGTTGAGGTTATACACACTAACACTGTTGGATGGTGGCTCAGTGCTCATGTGAGTGACAGAAAGTCTCGAGTTCGAATCCTACGTGCGAAATCGTGAATTCGCATTGCTAATCATCGTGTAATGTAGCAGTTTAAAACTTCAAATTATTTACTGATGAATCACTTGTTCAACAGCTTATCATTGTACACTTACTTTTACTAGGGGATAGCGAAATTGAGAAGCAGAAAAAAGGTATTAGTTTCAGAATAAATATTCGATTGAAGATTGTTTGTCTAGCAAAAAGAATCTTCACCTTACACATGAAACGGATAACAAACAAAAATTGATAAGTCCACATTATTCAGTACCTTTGACTTCATTTATCAGTTTACGTGTCATGTGATAGAAATAAATTAGAACAGAGACACGAGTACATTTTTCTATTGCTGAGTACATTCTAAAGAGTTATAGACTACATATTACCACGTAAGTACACAGTTCAATACCTCGATATTTCATTGACAGTGGGGATATTACAGAGGTTTATCAACTATTCGAAATCATTAACAGATAAAAAAGCTACTTCTTTACGCTTCTCTGAAGTGATAGCAAATAAAAAAATTACAGTAAATGTAAGTACTCAAAAAGAGACAGTTGTTAATTTATCACTGTCATGGTAAATTCATAATTTTGATTAAATCATTTCCAATTATCATTATTATTTGTTTTTTGCTATGCAATCTTCGCTTAGTTACTGAGAAGCCGGGTCGAGTATAAGGAACGTGTACACCGAGAACAATGGGAGACGGTCACGACATATCGTGGATTGATTGATGTTAGACTTGTACACCATTGGATTCCAGCTCATTAGTCCACAGGTTAAGCACTCACGCGTGGATACGGAGGTTTTGGTCCCCGATGACAGGGTCGTGTGTGGGTGTGTGGGCTGTGATACTGCCCGGGTGCCCAAACCGAGGCAGATGATTTTCTTAGGGGGGTACACCCGGAGTTTTTGAATGAGAATAAGAATTTTAATGTGAAAAACGTTGGTATATTTATAATTTCACATGAGAAAATTTCACAGTCTTCTCCAATAATCCGCTAGAGCTAATTGGCTAAGATATATATATATATATACTCCAACACAACTCTACACGGAACATGCTTTAACCAATCCATATTCCGTCAATAGTATTAACAAAGAGAGGAAATTTCGTATTTACGTTTTGTTGCGAACAACACTTGCTTCGGTTTGGGCACCCGGGAAGTATCACAGCCCTGACACATATTAAATGAGATTTGTGTGGCGCATATGTATTTGGTGCTTCCTTGTACCAATATCTATGTGTTAACACATACACATAGATGTGAGCCAATGAACTCTATCATGCAAAAGTGACGTGTTTTTCTCTGAAACTGGAAAGTCCAGGTGGGGTGTAGATGTGTTCAGACCGTCCTATGATTTCATTGGTTTGCTTTAAATAATAGCTTACCGGTTTGAATTAAGAGACTTTATTCTAAAGTTATCCATACGTTTTATTCCACACAGTTAATCTCATTCATACTATTAAATATAATAAGAACGAAATCAAGAATAATTTTCTGATATTATTAATTTTATTCTGAAAAAAGCAAACCAGGTGAACGATATTAGATTACGTAGTAAAATGAGTTATTCAAATTATTTGCTGTTTGGTAAGGTAAGCATCAGAGAAACAATTAAGCCTAACTACTTAATTAACTCTTCTTTACCTTCACAGATTATGTTATTAATACAGAAAACTAATCATTTCAGTAATATCTCAATAATTTAAAAATAAATAAAAGTGATGTGCGCCGCATAAAATAAAATGTGTGAAGGAGGGGCGAGATATTATCTGGGCACTCGCTATCATCTGCTGATCTCAATTAACCGATTATCTTAATCTCACACGATTACATAATGTTGGCTGTTATCCGATCGCTTTGATTGTTAACCGTAAAAGTACATCTTCAGAATATATATATATATATATATATATATATATATATATATATATATATATATATATATATATATATGTGTTTGCTGAATTACCGACTAGCTCTTTTTTGTTCTTCCCTACTCCAGATTCTTGCGAACATACTGCTCTAAACACTTCCTCATTTGGGTTAGACACACAATTACCATAAGTTTAACGTTTCGCCTATATTACCAATTTATTTTATAGCTATTAATAACTGGTTATATCATTTAGTCTTCATTACTGGGTAGAGATGGTTAAAAATTAGTTCCTCATTATCAAATGGAACAGTCAGATAGTATCATTAGCCTAATGTAAACGTATGGTCTATAACCGAGTATATAGTCACCTATCTTGTTACAAATAATTAACAAGTCTAAAGAAATTGTATTGACGTTACGAAGTTAAAATTATAGAAGCTACCTCCGATCAAATGAAAATTAAACAACTGAACAGTATTATTGATCTTCAAATAGTGAGTATAGCTTATAAATAGATATAATATCCATGGGATTCTAACTGATTTATTCTTATGAATTACGGTTATTTAATGAGATATTTTAAGAGTAAATACAGAACCGTACATGATTTAGCATAACAAATAGTGTATTAGATTGTACAAAATCTTCAGTAAGATATGTGACAGATCTAATTAAGTGACATTAAAATTGAGTTTCAACTCAAGAAAATAATTTAAATGTATCGTCCTAACTAAGAGACCCAAAGCTTTGGGACTCAATCTCTGATAGTGTCTCAGATGTACAGTTTTGAGGAGTCCTATAACACAATAAAACAGGTGTCCAATTATATTTATAGTTTATAGAACAGGTTTGAAACAACCATAGAAAACCAAGAATCACTAGAAAGCCCTTTCTCCCTAGTATAAAACTTCTCAACAGTGTGTATCCCCGGTCACACCGAGGATCAGGATCAGATCCAGGACCCTTATATTTTGAAACAAGTGTTTATAACTTTTCAACAATTCAGTTAGTATCCGATAATTTACTTTAATCAGTTCGTATTGTTATAAAACCATTTTCCAAAGTAAATACTGAGTAACTACTTCACACTTAACAAGTCACAGTTTCTTACTAAGAACTCCCAGAATTACCAATGATCTTTGATATTTTTTTTTCATTTTATTATGAATATTCCCATATAGCAAACTAAATTCCAATGAAACAATCTTCATCAAAAAAAGTTTTTTTTTAACTATTAAACAATATACATAATAAAAGAGTGTAATTATGAAGAATATATACCCTTATTACTTACTTTTGGTATAAAGTATTGACTAGCCCATTCTGATCCAAATTTTTTACATAAATTTACAAGATTTTCAACAGCTGCTTCTCTAATTGCATAAACTTGATCAATAAGCCATGATAAACATAAATCAATTAATTGATTATTAAAAAATTCTAAACCTAATTGTTCCGCTAATAATGGCATATATTCAATAATAGCTAAACGAACACGCCATTTTGGATCTTCAGCTAATTGTATAATAGCTGGTAATAAATTAATAGTTAAATGATCAATTCCAATAATTGAATTAACTTGTTCTAAATTTGAAATTACATTTAAACGAACTTCTGGATTATCATCATTTAATTGAGCAAGAAATATAGGTAATAAATGTTCAATTGTTAAATTTTTACCAATTAATGGAGCTAAACCAAGTATAGCATTAGCTAATGAAGATTTTACATGAGTATTTGATTCATTTGTAAGATTTTTAATTGCTGGTAATAATTGTAACATAATTATTTCATCTTTTGATGCTAAACCATTATTATTATTATCATTATCATTGAGATTATTAACTGAATCAAATTTCTCATCAATTTCCATCATTTTATTATCTAATGTTATTGTTGTAGAAGAATTTTTACAATCTTTTGTATCAGAATTAGTAGTTTTATTAGTAGTATTTATATCAGCATCAATTGGTAAACCTAGTAGACATTTGGCAAATGCTTTCACTTTTCCAGCAGCAAATGCTCGTACTTCAGCTTCTTCATCATGAAGTAGTTTCATGAAGAAAGGCTAGATATTTAGAATAATTTTTTATAAAAAAAAAAGGTAACGGAATAAATATGATTGAAAAGTTCAGCTTGAAATAAGAGAATTTTTATGCAAAAAAATTAAGCAAATAGATATAATTTATAGCAAACTATACGAGATACATGTCAACAATGGACCATTCTATAAAAACAACTCATGTATTTCAATGTACAAAGTATGTACTTGACCAATCTTACAACATTATATTTTTTATTCTTAATATTGTTCGGATTAGTACAGAAGTGATTAAACACTTCATATTCTTAGAAATGATTGTATCTTAAACTGGGAATCCAGATGTAACAAATCTACAGTTGATCTTTTATGAAACCAGAGATTTAAACTAAATTTAATCTATTTCATGGGTTAGAGTTATGATGTTTGGAGTCTCGAATCATATTATGATACAATCTTTTCTATCCTTCTATATATTTACCATACAACTATAAATATGAATGTACAGCTTAAGTAAACGATTTTTCATGACTATTATTTAATAATTATTGTGACTTTTATGTTTTTCGTTTTTCTTCATATCTGTTAAGCGAATAATTATTTTTCATAATTCTGATACATAAATTATTTTCATCCTTCTATTTTTCTCAAACTCCCTGATTATTACGCAACTTCATGTGAGATTTGGAATCTCGAATCACTTTATGATGTAGTCTTCTCTAATTTTTATTCTTTAAAATACTTAATAAACTATTTTGTTATCCGGCTGATACAATCAAATATACTAAAAGGCCTAGTAATAGCATCCGTAACTTTTTATCATTAGTAAAACGATCTCATTCAAAATCTTCTCTATATGAATTACTTTAAAAGTACATTTTTGAAACTCGAATAATTTACCACAATTTGCTCGTGAACTAAGAACTCTCTCATCATTTGTTAGGTGTACTGATGTTAATCTTTCTTGTGAAACTTCCTAAAATATGCTTACAACTTTAAATATTTTCTATTCGACTAGTGAAATCACGGTGTAACCATTATTATTACTGAACTCACATTCCAACCGTTGCTACTAACTTAACGTGGCCGGACTTGCCTATTGTGTCTATCGGGTTACACTGGCTGGAACAATCACTTCTCAAGGTCCTACAATGCCAGATAAGTCAGTTTAAGAACAGTAAGACTAAAAGCAACAAACGCAAGTTCTGAGGGTGAAGTTATACTGCTGACTGTACAGAGATGTGACGGCAGTAAAGTGTTTCCCTTCAGACAGCCAGTATGAGAGATGTTGCCATTCCACAAAGTAAGGTTAGGGTTAGAAAAAGACGACTCTAAGAACGTACACCTTGCCTTATCCCACAGATATCCGTCTCTAGTGGTAAAGTCTCAATAAGTACGGAGCTAACACGAAAATTACGCACAAAAATGTCGTGTGTGACCGACCTCAAGAAGTCGTCCCTTGGGCACTGCGGTCACGCTCTCAAGTCACTAAGACCATCTCTGGTCCAATTTCCTTTTCAGGTACCTCCAGAAGAACCGTTCCACGGTGTGAGCGACCGGGAAGTGACAACAGTGCTTATACCTCTAACAGCACTCAAGAACCCTGAGGATGTTCCGACCATTTTTGTCTCCGAAGGATTGCTGAAATTCAGTGGTAACACCATGTTAGCAATGCAGAGGTTCGGAAACATGTGTTTGGGAACAGGGAAGATAATTTAATTGGTGCCATCATCTTGAAACACCTGCTCCAGTGACTTGGACATGAGCTACGAATGTCTTTTCCCTAGCGACTTTTACATTATGCTCCACTTGCTGACACTTGAACTGACTGGATAAGGTGGTGGTTGGTTTATGACACGGTCTCGAGGTATGAAAGAAATGTGTACATGACTGGCTTTTGTTAGTTAAGACCATCTGTTTGTGATCTTAAGGATGATGCAACACAGTGGGTTGATACGTTATTGGAAATGGCTCAGAATAGAAGCCAGTAGGCATTCTGATGTAACTTTCTTATACTTTCTTCATAAAAGTGAGAGTAACCCCTCTAACTGAAAGATTCCCTTCTGGTTATATTTTTCCGAACCGAACTGCTTCACCAATCATTATTATTATTATGCTCTCACATACTAATTCCTATTCATTTTCGTTGTTCTTTTTTATTGTACCCACTTTCTGTTCTCTATCTCTTCACAATCTCATTTCCAATAAATCTATTCTTGTTACAACTCAATGAGTAGAAAAATTGTATTTCTGATGTTTCATAACTTTATAAAAGCCACTTCTTCAAAGTAAATAAATAATATTCTAATAATACTACTTAAACTTTTGTTAATTTGGTTCGATCATTTAATTACTCTGAAGAAGTGGCTTACATTAAGTCATGAAACGTCAGAAATACAATTTTGCTACTTATTGAGATATAACAAAAAGATATTTATCATAAACTCTCTACCCAATGTTCAATTTATTTGAAATTATCAAGTCTAACCTTAGTACTGATACCTATAAACTCATTAATAATCGAATTAGATTATCCAAGTGCAAATGTAACTGGTACAATCATCGAATATTTAACAAACGTTGTATAGACAAAATCGTTTCTATTATGTGGCGTGTACATATTCTGGTACCCCCTTGTGCCAATGTTTATCTGTTCAAATAAACAATAAAAGCTAGTACTCATAAGGCAAAGCTGCAATTACAGACCCAACATCTCTGACTGTGACATAATAAGTTGAATTCCATGGAGGGCAACAGCACCCTGCAGATTGTAGAAGGGTATTTCTTGAGGAACCTGAAAAGGAAATTGGATTATTGTTGGTCTCAGCGACCTGGTAGAGTGACCGTAGAGCCCAAGGGACAACTACTCGAGGCCGGTCGCGCACGGCCTTTTTGTTGGAGGTTTTTGACGAGTTAGCTCCGTTCTTCAAAGGGCCTTATCGCTGGAGACGGAGATCCGTGAGGTAAGGTGAGGCGTGACATTTTTATAGCCGACCTTTTCTAACCTCTTCCTTTCTTGTGAGAACGCAGCATCTCTACAGATGCTGGTTGCCTGAGGGAAACACCCTGCTGCTGTCACACCCCTCTATAGTCAGCAGTACGACTTCGCCCTTAGACCTTGAGTTGCTGCTTTTAGTTTTACCGTTCTTCAATTGACCCGCCTGGTATGGTAGAACCTACAGGAGCATATGTTCCGGCCAATATAACTCGGTTGGGCCATCACGATAGGCAAGCCCGACCACCGCGTCAAGGTAGCAGCTACGGTCGGGCTAGATAAGTCTTGTTGAAATGTAAAATTTTCAGTAAAAGCTTTGAATCTAAGGTCTAATGTCAATTAACTCCAAACATGTGGGAAACCATGAAACTAAGACGAAAGCAGAAAGGATCAACAGTTATTATATTACCAAACTTTACGAATGTATTATAGGACAAAGGTTAGAATCGTAACCCGATTGCTGAGTAAATTAGTTGAGAACGAAAATAACAGTTTGTTGATAATTACTGTGTTGTAATTTATTTAAAGTTTTTAAAAAAAAATTAAGGCACTTGAAAACTCCCCAGTGCTAAAGATAGAAATCATTAGTCACACTTCATGCATGATAGGTAACTTTCTCATTGGGAATAGACTATACGCCAACATGGAATCCCAGATGTAAGACCACAGGATTTAGGGCATAATGCTCCACGCATATAATCCGAAGATTATACAATACAATAAGGAATTCAAAATGACAGTCATTAATCACAACGATTGATGCCTAACCAACCAACTCGATTGCACTTTAACCTTTAATGTATGATAAATGAATAACTTGAGATTTCGCATATCAACTATACTAGTGATCAGATAAACTAAGAATTTTATCGGAACAGCTTGCTTGAATTAGCATACAATATGAATACGAAAAAATCTATTTGATCTAAATGAAAGATTTATGCAATGTGTGTGGGTTAAACTGAAGGTGTCAGTAGTTGAAAGATGTAAAAAGTACATGAACACAGTGAATCTGTTTTTGGTGGAGTTTTGTTCTCTCAGCTGGATGGTTTGGTCGTGGAGCTTTCATCGTTCTTCTGAACGACATCATCAGCACAAACTTCAGATAGAAGTCTATCCACCTGAACTACAAATCTTCACCACAGTGAATCTGTATTTCTGGATTTAATTGGTCAACTTAGAAAACATAGTAAAATACAGCTCTCACTAGTTAGCAGTGTTTACATTCAACACATTCATCATGCTAACATAAAATTCATTATCAAAGACATGTAAATGTAGTTGTATATGTGGATTGCGTGATATTATGTTTGTACAGATAGAGTGGATAGTTTACCGACACTATCATTTCTATAAAATACACCAACAACCATTACCTTCAGTTTTAATTATTATTTGACCCCAGTTGTAAATTTTTTTAAAATTTGAAATGGCAGATAGAGTATTAAAAGTCTACCTTACATTGAAGATAGCTGATAACATAGAAGATTACTAACTTACTACCAATCGTTCACGTGAAACTCGTAAACCCATAGCTGTCTGAATTTCTGTAAATTTATCGGCTACAACACATCGAACACGCCAAGATCTATCAGTTGTAGCTTGTTGGATGAGATCAATTAAATAACCTTCAGATTCTTCAGGTCCCAATGCTTGTGCCAATTGAACAATCGATTCGACTGCCATAAGGCGTACAGACTCTTGTTCATCATCAACTAGTCGAACAAATAAGGGAACAATTATAGTAATAATATAACTGCGTTCTTTCTCAGGATCTAGAGTAAAGTCATCAGATTGAAGAGGATTTGCAAGAGTCGACGATTTTTCAGCTACGCTATCATTAGTCAAACGTTCATCAGCAGCAACTCCACAACCAAAATGACCACTGTTCAAACTAACCACTTCATTTGTTAATATTTTTGATTCAGTGATAGAAGTGGTCATATTACTTGAATTATGCTCAGATATCTGACTTGATTTTTCTCCATCAGCACTAGGTTTCTCGGAAGATTGACCTGCTGACATGGCTAGTGCTAGTTCACCCAGTCGGGCAGCGACTGCTCTTCTGACCATCGGTGTTTCATCCCTATATAAATTCATAAAAATATGTAATTTAACAAGTATCAATAGTCAGTAAAACCGGAAACACAAAATAAATTGAAGTGATATTAAATGGCATGCAATGTAATATATCGTAAAACAAGCCCAGAATAATATGCACGCCTTTGGGAACCCAATAAATATAAGTTGGTGAATTTAGTGAATATCTCGCTTAGCATATTTTCCTTAGACATTAACTTGTATGCTTTACAGTTTACTGCATGAGAGGATGGAGTGGCCCCATAAGAGAACTACCTGCTTCGATCTGGGCGCTCGGGATGTGTTTCAGTCCGTACACAAATTGAATGACGAAGTGAGGCGCATATACACTTGGTGCCTCCTTATACCAATGTTCGTGTTTAAATAAATAAACAAATAAATGAGTCAGTAAGCAGTCATTGGGTTGTGTTTATCCTTCTACATAATTTCGCGTTTCTGGTCAGTTACACCAGTCACTCAAAAATACAATGCAGAATGTGAATCTGAAAACAAATAACCAAAAAATGTCGTACAGAAGATACATGGTTTGCAAAAAACGAGAGCTACGATAGTCTGTTTTGCTCATTCGTGGCGGTGAATCAGCGGTTAATGCGTCCGATTTTCAGCTACTAAGTCACAAACTCGAACCAGGTTTCACCTACTTTGACCTCGTAAACCAGATAGTATTCCTATCGCACACATCTAGTGTGACTTAAGGCCAAGCAAACAAATACGCACCTGGATTGTTAGCTAATGATAATAATAATAATAATAATAATAATAATAATAATAATAATAATAATAATAAAATTTGTAATGGTAATATTCAGACACAATTCTACAATTTAGTAGTTTATTAAAAATACATTGTATGAGCTTCGTGGAAATGACATTGAACAACGTTAAGTTGATACAGAGGTAATGGGAAAAGTTGGTAAACAGATGGTGAGTTTGTCATTCATCATCGACCGAGGTGGTTGAGACATGTTTTACGCTTACTTAACCACCGTCTACTTCGACGACAGATGCTCCATAATATAGAAGTAGACTGGAAAGACGCTAGGGCCACCTAATCCAAAATCTGGCATCAGTTCATCTAGTCACAAAATGTTGGGCTAAGCGATATAGGTAGAAGCAGACTACCTAGCTGGGCATCATAAAACAACTATGGCCAGTGGCTGAAGACTTTGAGTCATACAGATAGAAATCATTCACGATGGCGCAGACGTACTCGCTCTTTATCTTGAATTCCAATATTCCCACAAAAATACCTTCCACCTTGCAATTTGGAACCATAATGCTGATGTTCAGTCTTTCTTATTTTCATTATTACTACATTATTTTGACTGCTTTGCAAGTCATCTTGTTATGTTTGTCTCCTAGTATGAATATGGTATGGCAACTTGTCTCAAAGCACATATGTGCCAGACTACGTCGATAATGACTGATACGTCCCAACAAAGTTAAACAAAATATCTATCTTTGAAACGATAACTACGAAGTTACTAATGTGCTAACTAGACCTACTGAAAGGTTAACAGGGAGGACGAGGCATATGTCAAAAATAAACATCTTTGCTTTTACGAATCACGTATTTAACTAATATTTTACAAACCATCTCCAACACCGGTTAGCGTTGTACGTCGTGGTAATCAGTGTTCAGGCATACGTAACACGTGGCCTAACCATCTCAGTCGATGAAGATTCAAAACCTCATCAACTGATTTACCATCATTCCCTAATACCCTGCGTTTAACCTCACTATTACTTACCTGGTGATCCCAGCAGACGCCAGCAATATTTCTAAGGCATCTGTGGTCAAATACTAGTAGCTTACGGGTGTCTTCTACTCTTAGAGGCCATGTTTCGCAGCTGTAAAGTAAAACAGAACGGACTGCCGCGCAGTATACTCGTCCTTTTATTGATAGACGGATATCTCACCTTCGCCAAAGGTGACGTAAGTTGGCAAAAGCCAAAAGAGCTTTTCGAATCCGTGCCCATTAGGGCTGATCAGACTTCCAAGATAAGTGAAGTTGTCAACGCGTTCGACTACTTCACTCCCTATCCTTAGTTCAGGTGTTGACGCAGGCCAGTGCTGAAGCAACAACTTGCATTTAGAGGGAGAGAAGCGCATTCCAAACATTCAGGCATTGTTGCTTAGTGGTGCCAGAAGACTGCATTTTGTCAGCGTCTTCTCCAAACAGGACTATGTCATCTGCGTATTCTAAGTCGATAAGTGGACTTCCTGGTAGGAGATCAATACCTGAGAATTCAGTCGACGAGAATGTTATTTCCATCAATAGGTCTATGATGAAGTTAAACAAAAATGGAGAAAGTGGACAGCTTTGACGAACACCACTTGAGGTTGCAAAAGTATATGACAGTTCGCCATAAGCCCTGACTCGACTAGTAGTGTTCGAGTTAAGAGCCTTTACAAGGTTTATGTACTTCTGGGGTACGCCTTTTAATGACAGACACTGCCACAGAATCTCGCGGTCTACAGAGTCAAATGCTGCTTTTAAGTCAAGAAAGACCACCATAGTCGGACGCCGATAAGTATGCCTGTGTTCTAGAACCTGACGAATGGTGAATATGTGGTCGATGCAGCCACGACCAGGTTCTCTCGTGTTTGCAGTTCACGAGTCTTAGTTAGGCGTTTGATAATTATTGAGGCTAGTATTTTAGATACTATATTTGTTAAACTAATCCCTCTGTGGTTGTCACAGGATGATTTTGACCCTTTCTTATACATTGGGACGATAAGTGATTGCGACCAGTCAGATGGGATAACGTCTAATTCCCAGACCTTAGCTAAAATATTAGTCAACCTAATCGCTAAAATTGGACCACCATCCTTGAAGACCTCTGGAGCCAATCCATCTGGACCAGCTGCCCTTCCTCGTTTCAGATTAACTATAGCCTTTTGAACTTCAGCAAGAGTTGGGAGACCTACTTCAATGTTCCATCCACGCTGTCTGGGAATGAAGAGTAGTTGTAGAGTAGCTGAAGGCCAGCTGAACTGTCCTCTGAAATGTTCCGCCCATCGTTCTAAACGTCTGGACTGGGAGCAGATGAGAGTATCGTCTTTTTCCGAAATAATCTCACTTACACTTGACTTATTAATTCCAATTTCTTTTATTAGTCTGTAAAGCTGTCTTGTGTTTCCTATAGTCGCCGCCTTTTCCATCTCTTTTGTTTTCGTTACCCACCACTGCTCACGGTCGTTCCTTAGACTTTTTGTTAACCTACATCTGATTTCTTTACGCTCTTCATCATGTTCAGAACCTGATGGGACGATTTTGCGAGAATCCATTAGTGCAATAGACCTTGAAGAAATCCAATGGTTCTTTGTAACTCCGTAGTTTAAATCACTGACAGATGTCACTGCTGTTTCCACAGCTGCTTGTATGTCTTTTCAAGCAACATCTGGGTCAGCCTCGTTTTCAGAACTACCTAAGTGTGACATCAGTTGTTCCTGGAACCTACTTTTGGTTTTCTCGCTACTCAATTCAGTTCTAATGGGTCTTTTTAATGTGGCTTTTTTGCGTCCAGTGAGGCGCAAGCAGATGCGTGCCCGTATTAGGGCGTGGTCGGAGTCCAAGCAGGTACTCCAGAATGAGCGACAATCTTGTACCGACCCTTTCCAACGATGGCTGATGGCAATATGGTCTATTTGAGTCCATCGTTGGTTTGGTGTAGGGGGTCACCATGTTAGACGGTGTCTCTCCTTATGCTTAAAATTTGTGTTTGCTAAAAATAAACGATTGTCTGAGTATAGTTGCAGCAGACGATCACCATTATCTGTTCGCTGTGTCGGAATACTAAAATATCCACCTAAATGCCTTTGTTTGGTTTAAACTACCTATCTGAGCATTAAAGTCACCTGCTACGAGTACTATGTCTGAGCGTTTAGCTTTCTGAAGAAGTTCGGACAGCTTTCTGTAAAATTCATCTTTCACTTCATCTGAGCTGCAGTCAGTGGGAGCGTAGGCAGAAATGACAAAAAGGCAACGACGTGTGTCCCTATCCTTCCGAGTTCTTACGGAGCCGTTTAGCCGAACAGCACATAGACGACTGTTGACGGGGATCCACTCTAGCAGTGCTTGTTCCGCCCTCATGCTTAGTGCTATGCCTACACCTGCCAGTCCACGAGAACTGGCCATCGGGTCGCCAAATACACGAAGGGCGTATTTCGTTGGTTCTCCGTTTTGCCGAGGTGAGGTCAAGTGAATAACCACACTGGAATCCTGTATGCCTGTTTCGGAGACACAGCACACATCAATGGTAAGAGACTCTAGGGTTTTAGCCAAGGAAGCCTGCTGACCGAATTGACATAGAGTTCGTACGTTGAAGGCTCCAATGTGTAGTTTGGAGCGAGGTTTCAGTAGACTTGTGACAGTGTTTTGAGCACTAGAATCGTTTCAGTCAGTCAGTCAGTCAATAACAACGTAGAACTTCGTACGTACGTACATCAGTTCGAGTTGCCACACCACCTTAACACAGAGATGCAGTTGTCAATTCAAATCCCATTGTGGTAGAGGTAGCAAGAGTGTAAGCAGTGATCGGGAAGATTAGGATTTGGAGATGTTATTTAAAGAGTATAATTCAGTGAAATAAATTTGGAAAGAGGAAAAAAGGGACATGAAGAATTCAGAAGATTAGAATTTGGGAGAACACAAAGAGTGGATGCCACTGCGCCATTGCAAACGATTTTGAGCCATGTCATTCAGGGTCTCTAACCATCGGTTGCTATCATCTCGCGGTCCCCAACCAGGTAGTCTACACCTACACCTACACTAGAATCGTTTGCTATGGTGACACTTGAGCAGGAAGCCGAGAGAGGAAATTTAGAGTTGAAAGTCGATGTAGGAGGAATAATAGGAATTGAAGAGGGAGGTTGATTATGAATACAGTGGTCTTGAGTGCTGTTAGAGGGCGGTTATCACTTCCCGGTTGCCCACACCGTGGAAGGGTTCTTCTGGAGGTACCTGAAAAAGAAATTGGATTAAAGGTGGTCTTAGTGACCTGAGAGCGTGACCGCAGTGCCCAAGGGACAACTCCTTGAGGTCGGTCACACAGGACCTCTTTATGGGTAATTTTTGTGTTAGCTCCGTACTTATTGAGACCTTACCGCCGGAGATGGATATCCATGGGATAAGGCGAGGTATGCATTTTTTTAGGGTCGACCTTTTCTAACCCCACTCCTCCTTGTGGGAAGGCGGCATCGCTGTTATGATGATTGTCTGAAGGGAGCACCTTACTGCTATCACACCTTTGTACAGTCAGCAGTACAACTTCGCCTTCGGACCCTGGGTTTGTTGCTTTTAGTCTTACCGCTCTTCAACCGACCTGTCTGACATGGTAGGACCTTGAGGAACGGTTGTTCCATCCAGTATAGCTCGGTTGCTTCATCACGATAGGCAAGCCCAACCACCACGTCAAGGTAGCAACAACGGTCAGGTTTGTCCGTTAAGAACTCGTCTTCAAACCACTAAGTCTTATGCAAAAAATGAGGCTCCAGTTATTCCGGTATGAATTAACAAATGGTATATTTTAAGTCTTTACGACGTGTGCTTTAAGACCTGGTGCAAGATAGGAGTAAAATAGCACAAGATGACCAGATACAAAGTAAGATGAAGAATCTGTCACTAAAATTATTTGATACACTGCATTTTTACAATAGTTATGAATGTAGTTAGGTGTTACTCCATAATCACTAACCATACAATTAAAAATATTAATTGATAAAAATAACATTACCAGACATAAAATACAAATTTCAGGGCTAATATTAACTTACTTGGCTAGTCTCCTAAGAAAATCAAGTAATTCCCATCGTTTTGAGCTCCTTACTCTAGGATATACTACACTAAAGAGAGCGCATGCAGAGGTTCGGCTTGTGAACCAATCACCAGTAGCTAGGCGATGTAACAATGGGTTGAAATATTTTTCCATTGCTTCTGTAGTATGGTCTGGTGCAAGTTTCCTGAGTGCCTCTACGGCCCTGTCACGTACAACCGTTTCTTCAACCTTTTTTTCAAAAATGAAACAAAATAAACGCAAAATTGCTTATCGATTCGGCTCAACTAAGCATTTCGATTTATTTCAGCTCAAAAGCACATCATTCATACAAACCAGTTATCATAATGAATCGGTATTTCAACGGGTTGTTTTTAAAGCATATGTCAGAAACCTAGTAGATTTTCATGCAACTAGATTTCAGTTGCACTAGCTTACGAAGACTAATAGGACTTCACGGTCTCCCAAACTGTAATGTTTGAAATGGAGTTCGAAACCATAACACAATGGCTTCAATTGCCAAGCCATAAGTAAAAGTAGAACCTAATCAACAAGAAAAATTATTTTTCCGGGAAACTACATTCATAAATATACAATGCCGTCCACTTTTTAACCTAGTCATATAACATGGTAAGTTGGCGGTTACACTAGACGAGACCAGATGATCACCCACGATCAAACTATTGGACAGTATAAAGGAGCTCCCCTGCCAGTCTGGCATGTAAAGCCTAGAGGAGATAACCAGTCGACTTCACCTTCTCAGTAACAATAGGTAATGTTCGTGGTTAGTACTCTATCGTCATGAAAACCAGTAGAAATCAGGTTCACAGAGATGGAATTTTAAGCTTCAATTTCTTCTTATTTTCTGAGGATGTCCTGCCAAGGAGAATCAATTACTTATTTTAATGTCTATTGAAGATATTAATGTGTGGAGGAAACCAAACGCAATGATCATCAGACTGATTTAAACGAGTGGACTAACTGATAGTCACTAGAAATAATTATACTTGTTATAACATAAATCAAGAAAACTGGTACCATTACTTGACTGTCCAAATTTCTACACCAAAAGTTAGATTTCATAGATGGTGGGGATTTCACATTAACTCTCCGTATGCTAGGCAGGGACGTGTTAATTTCTTTTTGCGTATTGAGAACCAGATTATTACGTGTTTAACACTTAATATTGAAAAATGCCCATAATGTAATAAAGCCTCCCTACAAATTATGATTACAATAACTCTACTCCACGTCAAGTAATGAGTGATGGGTGTAGTCACACATAATCGGCGTAAACCTGACATACATGCGTTATCGCAGGTTGTCATACTGATTCAGCATGACTAGGTAAAATTGAAAAAATGAGTAGCAAAGAAGTCAAAACCATCGTCGTACCAATGATGAGGATAAACCTTTAGAATACGACCCCAGAAGTTAGTGAAAAGGTATGAACGACGGTATACTCGGATTCAAAGTTGGAAGATAGAGAGGAGACAATGAAAAACTCTTGAATGAATTCTGACGCTCAAACATTACAAGTAACTTACTGCTGCAAGACTCTCAAGTGGAGGAAGAAGTGAGTGGGCATACTCAGGACCGCCTACATATGGAACTAGAGTTCCGATTTGTTCTGCTAAAGTGAGCAGTACTTCATCTTCATCATATATTGTTTCTGTCAGAAACGGTATTAGTTGAGATCTGGTCTTTTCCGGGCCAAGAGCTAAGGCAATAGTAGAGATTTTGCGAATGCTATGAAGACGGACGTGTAAGTCTTCACCACGAAGTTCTTCAATAAGTACACCAATAGGATAATCCTCATCCCTCTCACTTTCCATCAGTATCTAAACAAACAAAATTGGAGTAAATTGATCAGTTTGTGGACCATGTTACATTGCAACTTAAATAATAATACATATGTATCTACTTCTATAATTGTTTTTTAATGGATAATGCTCTCAAGACCTTGGCACGACTATTAAGATTCATCACATTTCACGTCTGCTATTTCTAACGGATGTGATGTGTAGTGGGTTAAACAATCGTTCGCCAGTTTTAGTTTTAACATTGTCTTAATCCCTAAATTGTGTTGTTGCTGGTTACTACTTATTGCTTTACTTACAAAATGTAAGTGTGTTGTGTGTGTTTGTTGGGTCCTCGACTTACCTTTTCTTGTCCTCTCAGCCCTCTTCACTCACGCTACTCTGTATGCTTCTCTAATACACACAGTAGCCTCTAGCTGGACGCAAACCGATACAACAGGTTTTGTCGTCAATTTCAAGTGCATCCTCTGCTCAAAATTCGTTGGGTTATGCTTCCGTTAATTTTAATCGAAAACTTCGAAAAATTATCTTTAAACCCTTGAAATAACTGTAGACTTTTACATAAAGCACAAACGTAGTACCGGTTAAATTTTTAACATTTGATAAGTACTGATACGATATAGTGTACATCCCAGTATTGGTTGAGAATATGGATATAAAATAAAAAACAATAAAACTGGCTCGGATTTAAGATGGAAAACATCTAGCTAATAAAAGCCTAGCCAAATAAAAAAAGGCTACAGCTGATATTTGTCAGCTTGATATTCAGTATTTACGAGTTTCTACTAAGATGCTGTCATGCTTAAGGGAGATCCAGTGACAAGTTAAGTTCAAATCAGGTAAAAACCGTGTAGACTAGATTGATTCCAACAAAAAACACTACCTATGTATGGGTTTGTAAGTTCGTCTAACATAAAACCTGGAGAACGAAATTTGGCGCTATTTTGACGGACAAACTAAAACTCCACAATGCGAAAAAAATCTAAGTCAATTCTGTTTTCGTATGGTCTTGAAAAATTAAGAAATAATCAAGTCAAAATCAAATACGCAGCCTTCTTTTACCTAGTACTTATAAACATATACATGTGAATTATAACCGTTTTGGCGCCTTTTAAAAAACCTACTTCATATTTATGCGGGGTAGCAATATTCGTAACGTTGTCAGGTCAACTTAATGTATCGTGTGCCATTATAATAGTTATGGGTTTGTCATACTATAATATAATTTTGATTCTTGAAAAAAATTACATTATGCTGTGAATTTTGCTATGGCAGTAATTTTTTAACTACGTTGAACTGCCTTATGCTGGACATGCATTGCACGCTAGAATGATATCTTAAGTCATAGAAATCTCAATAAAACTCGTGGTCATTTCGCAGTAAACCGCCAGTGAATAATGTTACTGGAGAAAGTAATGTTGTGCTGCGAATTTTGATTTCATGCCTAAGTTACTATTGCCCCCGGTCTCTAAGTAATATTGTTTGTCCTCTGCTACTTACTTACTTACTTACTTTCCAACTCCTTCCAGTTGCCATTCAAGCTTTTCATATCTGCTTCTATATTTCCAGACGTAATACTTTTTTCGGTCTCCCTCTTTTCCGCTTTCCTACAGGATCCCAGGTTAAGGCTTGCCTCGTGATGCAGTTTGACGTTTTCCGTAATGAATGTCCCATCCATTTTCATTGTCTTTTCCTAATTTCCTCTTCAAGTGGAAGCTGGTTTGTTCTCTCCCACGAGACGTTGTTGCCGATGGTATCCGCCCGATGGATGTTGCGTATCTTGCGTAGACAGCTATCTATAAATACTTGTATCCTCATAATAATGGTTGTAATAGTTCTCGAAGTTTCATCTCCATGCAGAAGAATTGTCTTGAAGTTCACATTGCAGATTGTGACTTTGATATTTGTTGACAGTTGTTTTGAGTTCTTCGATTGTAGGAATGCTGTCCTTGCTTAGCCAATCCTCGCCTTCATGTCTGTATGTGAACCTCCTTGTTCATCTATGATGCTTCCCAGGTACGTGAAGAATTCTACAACTTCCAGAATTTCGCCATAAAAAGTGATTCTATTGCTGTTCTCTGTGTTGTATTTGTGTATCTTGGTTTTCACCTTGTGTATGTTGAGGCCTACTGATTTAGAGACTGCTGCTACACTACTTGTCTTCATCTGCATTTGTTTGTGTGTATGCGATACAAGGGCTAGGTCATCTGCGAAGTCCAAATCATTTAATTGGTTCTGAGCTGTCCATTATATGCCGCGTTTTCCCTCAGATGTCGAGGTATTCATAATCCAGTCGACCACCAGAAGAAAGAGAAAGCGAGAGAATAAACATCCTTGTCTGACTCCGGTCCGGATAATGTTGTCAATATTCTCACGAACTCCGTGGTGTCGAAGATGTTCACATAATGTTCTCCTATCTACACTGTCTATAAAGATGAAGTATAGAGACGAGTTTTACTCAACTGATTGTTCGATAATGATTTTTAGTGTCGCGATTTGGTCTGTTCACGACTGATCCTTACGGAATCCAGGTTGTTGATCTCGAAGCTGTGTGTCTAGTGCGTCTTTCATCCGGTTCAGCAACACTCTGTTGAAGACCTTCCCTGGTACTGACAGTAGTGTGATGCCTCTGTAATTTTCACATTTGCTCAGGTCTCTTTTCTTTGGAATCTTGATGAGGTGTCATTCTTTCCAGTCCATCGGCACTTGTCCCTCCTCCCAAATCTTTTTGAATAGAAGGTAAAGCATGTTTGTAGTCACTTCGATGTCTGACTTCAGTGCTTCTGCTGGTATGTTGTCTGGTCTGGATGCTTTCCCGCTCTTGATTTTTCTGACGGCCATTCTGATTTCTTCCTTCGTTGGTGGGTCGACGTCTATGGGAAGATCTGTGTGTGCCGCTTCGATGTCCGGTGGATTCATTGGAGCCGGCCTATTCAGGAGTTCCTCGAAGTATTCTACCCATCTGTTCCGCTGTTGTTGAATTTGGGTGATTGGCTTGCCTTCTTTGTCTTTGACCGGTCTCTCTGGTTTACTGTATTTCACTTCTAGTTTCTTCGTTGTATCGTAAAGTTGTTTCATATTTCCTTTTCTTGCAGCTTTTTCTGCCGTCGTAGCTAGTTATCCACGCATTTCTTCTTGTCGGCTCTAATACCCCTCTTCACTTGTTTGTTTGCTTCTATATATTCAGCTTGTGCTTGGACTTTCTCTGCTCGTGTTCGGCTGTTGTTTGTTGCTGCCTTCTTGTTCTTCCTCTCTTTGATCTTGTCCAGTGTTTCTGTAGAGATCCACTCCTTATGATGTTGAGAGCTATCTTGAATTCATTGAGTTTGTCAGTATCTCGAAGGAAGGCTGTATTGAACCTTTGTAGTGCTGTTTGTCCTGTTGTCCAGTTCTTTTTTAGCGTCAGTTTTAAATTGGCCACAACTAGGTGGTAATCTGAAGCTATGTCAGCACCTCTCCTGGTTCTCACATCTTCCATTGTACTTCGGAATTTTTTATTGATCCAAATATGATCTATTTGGTTTTCTGTGGTGTGGTCCGGTGAGATTCGTGTAGCTTTGTGTATACGTTTGTGTGGAAATATTGTGCCACCTATGACCTATTTGTTGAATGCACACACATTTGCAAATCTTTTCCCACATTCGTTTCTCTGTCCCAGTCAATCCATATCGTCCCATGTTATCTTCATATCTGTTGTTGCCTATACCGACTCTAACGTTTAGATCTCCCATCAGAATGGTGAGGTCGTTTTTTGGGCACCGCATGGCCGTCCATTTGAAGGTCCTTTCAAGGTTGTCTCAAGGAAATCTAAATATTCCATGATAGAAAAACGCAGAACCATCGACTCTGTTATTATTGATAGATTAAAAGCGGCTTATTTCGTTCATAAACCACCATATATGTTGTGAAACCATTTGCCTGAGAAAACGATTACAAAAACGTCAAGCAAAAACAATAGATCTTCACAAATAGCTAAAAATTTAGACGGGCATAGTCGATTAGTCAGTGAAGAATATTGACAGTTTTTGGCTGCAGACTAAAATACAACCAGGTATCTAATAAGATCTTGCGTTTATTAGGCTTGATTTTTTTGTGCCGTTTCACCTATTTTAATTAATTAACAAAAATAATACTAACAAAATGTAGTACGCAGTATTATGCTATTCACAATCCTTAATGTTTTACTTTTGATATATTAGAGTTGTATTCATTTTTTAATACTGAATACATAGGTTTTTATCCGTGAACACATGCTGAGTATTGTAAGACGAATACATATAAAAAGGGTTAAGTTACAAAACAACGAAGAATCTTCGACTGAGGCGAGTGATGTGAGCTAGCTTCACCTGTCAAATTAACCATTTACTTAAATTGTGCATCTAATAATAGACAATGAGAAGGGTGAATGGTAACATTGAATAAATTCTCTATGAACATGTGTTATAAATCCAAGCAATAAACCCTTGAATAACGACGAGTTCCAAAAGCAACTCAGGCGAGTTTTACGTTTTCTTTCCTTTCCTGGGTAATTTACTCTGTTTTTAGCACTCTTAAACTTATATAGATTTTTCCCCTTAGACTGGTTGTATATATTTCATACTAGCCACTCTCAAAACCGTTTTTCTTTTTGTATAAGATAGGTTTAGTATACGACCAAAACTAGTATTTAAAGCGTTTTATTTTTAAACGAAACATTTTAGATTGTAGCGTGACTTCGAGTCGCGGTTGACTATGAACACTGTAGTGGCATTGGACCATAACCACACTATCCTCAAAGCTGAATACGAGATTACTCGGAAAATAGGTATTCAATATTTAACGCGAAGAAATACCTAACGATGGAGAAGGCGCGAATAATGAATTGAATAGACTAGAGTTGATCGAACGGCATGGCTCGGCCATGCAGGCGTGGTCTCTGCTGAATGTTACCTTATATCTTCTTTTCATATTAAATATATTGTTCTTTCTCTAGCCTAACCTTGTTCTACATCATGTATTGGTAATTGATACGATACAGTGAGTTGGTGTAGTCGATGGTGTGACTTCCACGTAAGATCTTATAGATTAGGCAGTCATATCATGACAAATCTACAAATTTAGGATTAGGTCTATTATTAGAGCAGTACTAATATCATAGTAGACCATAAGTTCTACATTGGTAAGCCCGACTAAAGAAACACAACGTATTATTGTTAATCCTTATTTCCACCTTAACCTTCTCAATCGATTTCTATTTGTGTAAACCCATTATTCTAATAGTTCTCTGATTAATGCTCACGTGTATTATCGTAATGTTATATCGATTAGTTCTCATAAAATACTAGCTCAATCGATAGTAAAAACTGGTCGTCTATGTTAACTAATTAGCTTTGATGGTTCGTTAACAAGCTTTAATAGCATCTACATGCTTCAGCAACATAATCTTGTCTAAACATCAAGCTCTAGCAAATATGACCTGTAAATAGCGTAAATATACTGCCTAACAATGCAGTCAAGGACTAAATAGTTATCTGGATCTAATTCTCAGTGTTCCTTCACTTAACACCTCATCCTGTTTTAAACTATGCACTATCTTGTAATATCTTTTCTTCCGACCATTGCCTGCCTAATTTCATATTTTCCAGTTCCATTGCCAAACAACAAGGATGACACTTCTCCAAAAACATACGGTGAGTTTCAGCTATAAGTTTTCTGCAACCATAAGGTCATGTTAGATGGCTCGTTCAATGTCGACCACACAATCATCTGGATTCATTCGATTGTTGTGATCCGAGCGAGTGGCGAAAACGTCAACAGCATCAAATACCCTGGAGTTAATTGTCATACTGCATGTTTTATTCTGGATACTTTTGGATCATTTCTACTCCTCACGAATGGCGTTATATATGTCGTCCACTGAATAATCTAATTTTCAAAATTCCAGGCGAGTTCAACTATTTTACTGGATTATTTTTGTACTTAACATGTATAT